TATATATATATATATATATATATATATATATATATATATATATCAAATATTATCATATTATAATCACATTTAGGCTATATGTACAGAAGCTGGAATGTTGGCACTTCGCGCTCAACGCAAATTTGTCTGCTTGGAAGATTTTGATAGAGCTAAGGATAGAGTTATAATGCAGAAGAAAAACGAAGCGCCAGCAGAATTTTTCTTATGATTATTTGTAATGCGGGCAAAACATTTTACAAGTAATAACATATTTCTGCTTGAATTAAATTTTGCGGAACCAAATATAATGGATAGTTTTATTTGTCACAAGTACAAAAGGCTTATTCTTGGATTTATTCGGCATTGGTTTTCTCAAGCAGGTCTACTTACTTACAAAATATCCCGGTTCGGTATTCTTTTGAAGAAGTTAAAATTTATATGTAGTATTATCGATGATTAGATTGCATATTATCTGTATTAATCATTAATTATACACGAAAATCCAAAGAAATGTTATTAAAATTGAAGCCCATTGTATTGTTTGTATCAGAATGAGCTCCAGTTTGTACTGATTGATGTAACAGCTAATGCTCAAAATACTAAAGACTAATCTTTATAAATTAATTTCAAGCTATATCCACTAAATTCAAATTTTGAAAAATCCTACTTCTGCTGCTTTCATATACTAATCATCTAACTTTCTGATTTCTGCCTTCTCTTTAATTCTTCCAGTTCTTATGTCTTTTCTACTATTTTTCAATCATTTGTAAACAACTACATATTTATCATGCAATTTTCTTACTGAAAAAATAAAATGCGATAGCCTAATAAAGTCAAACATATCTTTATGAAAGTAAAAACTTTTGATAACGAACTCCCAATACTAAAAATATTAATTAAAAATCTTAACACCCAAATAATTAATCAAATTTTTTAATTCAATTATTTGTGATATGAGATGGATGGAGTTAAAGTTAACTCCATCCATCTCATATCACAATCACAAGTAACTGAATTAAAAAAAATTAACAAGCACTAATTAATTGATAAACAGTGGACGATGGCTTTTTGTTTACTCTTTGTAAGAGCAAACAAAGTTCGTAATTTCTTATCAGAGCAAAATGAGTAAAAAAAACTTGTCATCATAAATATAATTGAAAATCACATGAAAAGTATCAAAAAGTGTTGCTTTAATTTATAGCTAAAGTTTTTATGGCTAGAGAAGTCTCTATGGTCATAGAAGTCTCTATGGTCCTAGAAGTCTCTATGGTCATAGAAGTCTCTATAGTCATAGAAGTCTTCATGGTCAGAGAAGTGGTTGAGGAGTGTGCTTTTTACTTCACAAAACATTTGTCATATTTTTGTTGATGTATGGCAGCGAGCAATTCTCAGTCTTGTCAGTGTTGAGTGATAAACAAATGAAATGTAAGGAACAATTTGCGAATAATGAAGTTTGCATAATTTCACGATGATACGGTCCCTTGAAAATATACGAACATGTTTTCTTTTTGAAAGCAAGACAAAATGACCCAATAAAAAAACGATAACTATGTCTTCTTAGCCATGTGCTAAAATATGATTTGGCCTATGATGTGACCTTTAGAAAAATTTCTTGTCAGGAAAATGCGGGTTGACCTACTTATTTTCTGTTGACATACGATATAGGAACGTTAATTTTGCATAATGCCACATTTGCATATGCACTTAAACTCGTCATCATAGCGAATAAATTGTTACGGAAAGACGGATACAAGATACAACACCTCAGGCGTACCTGGAAGTGTTGATTTTTCTGCGATTATTTCATATTTCAGACCAAGTATATATTTCAGAGTAATTAGTGTCTAATTCAATCTACCTATATAAATGATGAATATTCAGTAATTTAATTAAAATATGAATTTACTCTTTTCAGTTAGATTTTGACTATAAATCAATGTGTCAAGTTAGTCTCAATCACATTTAGAAAATAATTCATCACTTTTTCAGCTATTAATTTGAGACTGATAAAAATTGAATTGACTAATTAATGTAAAAGTTAGTATGAACAACTGAATCATTAATTTAGTTCCAGAATGAGCTATTCAAAAGGTAAAAGTTCAAATTAAGTACTCTCAAGTTTTTTTTGCTGATAATTTATCAGTTTCATATTTTTGTTGTACATTTGTGTTTCATCTACAATTGTTTTGACTAAATTGCGTGTACGCTATCAACGACAACTGTGTTATTTCTAGAATTTAAAGTTCATTTAGAAAAAATGACATATTGCATAAATAGAAAAGAAATAAACAATTTGACTTATCGTTTTCTCAGTGATTTTTGTCAGAATAACTACGTAAGCGTTCTGCATAACTCTTTCCTGTCTGTTATTTCTTTCTCTGTCTCTCTCCCATCAAACTGTTCATTCACCTTTCACTTTGAATAAATGCTTTCCTCCTCACAAAAAAAATCATATGCCGCACACAGACACACACACACACATGCATACACTTTCACGTATGCATACACGCACTCACACAGACACATACATACATACACACGCATTCACACTCACATGGACAAGACGTAAATTTGATTGCTAAACAATCTTTTTATTCCTTAAATTTACAACTGAACTCAACTTAAAATGAATGATTCATTGTTAATTTTTCACGAATGCTTTTCTGTTACATATTTACATGCTTTTTTCATCATTTCAATCTTTTAATTTTATTTATACCTAGACAAAACGATACAGTTTCTCTGTACAGAAATACAGTATTTACTGCAAAGTGTCATGTTTTCACATATCTTTGATATTTAATACAGTTTTATATCGAGGTATAAAACTGCATAATAAGGAAAAATAATTTTCGGTGTGGTCGCTTTCCATTTATTCCTTCTTCAATAAGTCTCGGTCTGTCTATTACTACAGACTTTGCGTTCTTTTACGCTAGAGATGACCTCTGCTTTATATATGCACTGATCACACTCAAATGCATACTTTACACTTATCATATGTATATGCTCAAGTCCTCTGGTAGTATGTATCTCGTACTGTTCATCTCTTGCATACAATTGATTTTTGTTTTACGCGGATGTAAGAAGTGGTATGATAACTAGTAGTTGCTCTGACCATCAATATAGAATATTTGCTATAGACTATTTTTTCGGGTTTGAAGTTGCTTTTCATTCACTTTAGTAAATAGCTTAGCTTAAAGCACCTTTCGAACGATTTGAATAACATTGACATTTCGGAGAGCAAAATACGAGACTTTATATGATCATTTTGTTTACACTTTAGGCCTTGAATTTCATGAAAAAAATTATGATCTGACACATCTTACTTAATGATTTTACGATTTGTTTGTTTTACTTTTCACTTGCAAACATTCTTTTTTATTTATATTATATTGTTTAATTCATAATTCATATGTATATGTAATTTAGTGAGAATTTAATCAATTATTTGCAATAAAAACTTTTTAGCATTTTGGTTGTTATTGCGTGTTTTTCAACAAATTTCAATAAATGGCTTTTGCAAAAACATCGTCGATTCTAAGCGTTTTAAAGAAAGATATATGGACACGTAGTCAGCGTCTAGTCAATTCGTCACCCAAAGTAAAATTTATTGAATTTATAAAAGTAATATTTTTAATTTGAAGAAGTTGGAAAATTGCGTACAGTTAATGGAACTAAAAGTTTTACAACAACTTTTGCCTTGATATATTGAATAAAATTACAGATTGCTTTGTTAGGCGCATCTGGTGGGATTGGGCAGCCTTTAGGACTACTGCTTAAAATGAATAAGCATGTAGCGAAATTGGCAGTATACGATCTAAAACATACACCGGGAGTAGCTGCTGACCTCTCTCATATTAATACAAGAGCTCACGTGATTTTAATTATTTTTTATTATTTATCATTTTCTTATTTTGTAAACACTTGATATTATATTTGCTTTAAGTGTCATAATTAGCTTTTAAACTTTAGGTAACTGGTCATACCGGTCCCAAGGAACTGACTGATGCCTTAAGTAATGCGGATATTGTAGTTATACCTGCTGGTTTGCCAAGGAAACCAGGTTTCGCAATTATATTTTTTTTCGGCGTTAAGAATTTTAGCACTCGCATTAATCATTTTCATAAATTTTGTTGAGTAGAATTTTTTTTTACTATTACAGCGTATCATTTTTTAGGTATGACTCGAGATGATCTGTTCACTGCAAATGCAAGTGTAGTTCGAGACTTATGCGAAGCAGCAGCGAAAGTATGTCCGACAGCTTTATTTGCTATCATTACTAATCCTGTCAACTCAACTGTGCCAATCGCGTGTGAAGTATTTAAGAAACATAAAGTTTTCGATCCTCGACGTGTATTCGGCGTCACAACACTTGATGTAGTACGATCAGCTACATTTGTTGCTGAAACTAAAGTATATCTTTATTTTTTTTAATTTTGGCAGAAACTAATGAAAAATGCATGTTGTTTTCATATTTTTTTCTTTTATTTTTGTAAAAACAGTCTTTGACTTTCATTCAATATAAAGATTTTGGGAAGAAAGCAATTCTACATTGCTGTGAGTTTTTTTAGGGTTTAGATGTGGAGAAAACAAATATCCCAGTGATTGGTGGCCATTCTGGAGTTACTATTATTCCGCTTCTTTCTCGGTGTGAACCTTCTTGTAAATTCTCTGATAATGAACTAATAGGGTTGACGGAACGAATACGAAATGCTGGTACGGAAGTTGTGATGGCGAAAGCTGGTGCTGTAAGTTATGAATTCTTTTTATCATCGGAATTTTCATAAAAGTAGTTTTCGACTTTTTAAATCACTTAAAGTTAAAACTGTCATTATTTTTATCCATATTATCATTTAAGTTAAATTATGTTGCTCTTTGAAAAAAAAGAAAAAAGTTAATTATTTTGAGTCATACGTAGCTTGTTATTCCTGCTATTTTGTACGAAAAATGAGGAAATTGATATACATCATCATGTTTTATTAATTATCAAAAGTGCAGGGTTCGGCTACACTTTCAATGGCTGCAGCAGGTGCATACTTCATTGAAGGTTTAATGAAAGGTCTTAGAGGTGAAAAAAATGTTCAGTGCGCATATGTAGCGTCAGATGCATGTGATGGTTTAGATTATTTTGCAACTCCATTAACGATTGGCGTAAGTTTTTATCAACGAGTTTTGATGTTACATGTTTTTAAAAGACTTCATGCCTTTACTACTTTCATTAAGTTTCTTGTTTACATTACAATCTTTTGTTTGAAATCATGATCAAGATGAGTAATCGTATTTTCTATTAATTACTTTGTGAAAAATAAATAAACCTAATAGTAGTTGAAGTGCAGAAATTAAAATGAGTCTAATATGGGTTTTATTTTTAGAAAAATGGTGTAGAAAAGATTTTGGGGATGGGCAAGCTTAGTTCATACGAACGAAAATTACTGGATATCGCCATTCCAGAACTGAAAAAAAATATCGCTAAAGGTGTGAAATTCGTCTCTGGGTAAAGAAGTTTTGTTATTAAACTTTTTAAATGGATAATACTCATGAAGTAGAAAATTGTTAACAGTACTTTGTTACGTGTATCAGTAAAACCTATTCTTTGTTTTCATAAGCATCACGAATTCTTCCTACGCTTTTGAATTGTGCTTACAGCCGTATAGAAATTGTTTTCTCTTTCATAGTTTGATGTTCTTTTATCGCACAAGACCTTTTCCCTTGTTTGTCGTTTTAATATAAAAAAATATTCGTTCATATAGACATATCTACTTTAGTGTTGATGTTATGATTACTTCTTACCTCTATTATGATCTTGAAAAGTGCTGTCGAATATGATGTCACACTTTTCAGTTTAATTATATACAAGTTTTTTTAGTCATGTCTTCAAGCAATTAAATTTTTTCTTTTGAGTAATGTGTTTAACATCAAATCTGAATATCTAAAGCGAATGGAATGGTGATAGTGCAGAAGATAGTTTTATGCTTACTGAATTTATACAGTTATTATTGCCAAACAAGCGTAATAATCTAGAAAAATTCAATTATTTCGGAAAGTCGCTGATGAGGTTTCTGGTACTAGCTTAGTGTTTGTGTTTGAATCTTTTTAGATCACATGAATTTAATTCCCGCCTTTTGCGGCTGTAAAACTCTTATAGTGTCGAAATGCAACTTTCCGTATCAAAATTTGGAAATTAATTACTTGCATTCTTATTCTGCCTTTATCCCGTTCAGCAACGGATTGTTCGTATGAATGTGCATTAAGTCGAGATTGCCGGTCAGTATAGCGGGTTGATTCACTGATGATAGAATAGATCGATTAGATTCAATAGTGCTTAGCAAATATCTAATCAGTTTGGCCTGGAAGAGGACGTGTAGAAAGTCACTTTAACATTTCACTAGTGTAAGAAGTGTTTTTCTTTTTGGGAGTATTTTTTTGCTAAGTAATCATTAAGTGTAATCATAGATTAATACAGCTAGTTGTAAATAAAAAATCATCTGTAGGTAATGTCGTGGAGCTATTTAAAATTTGCTACGCACAGTTTTAGTGTTTTATGCGTATAATTTTTAACATAGTATAGTAAATGTAAGTTTTGCTTTTGTGCATGCTATGGAAGATGTTTGTTAAATAATTGTTTTTTAGAGCTTCATGTTCAGTTTATAAAACTGAAAGCATGCTGAGTAATAATTTATTAGGAATTGCTATCCGGAAACATTTTGTACCATTCCCTCTCTTTGCTCGATTTTGTAGTACTGTCGATGATGGAAAAGATGGCTTACAGAATGGACATGCGGAAGAACTAAAAACAACAGTTAAAATTGTTTCTAAACTTCGGAAGATACCGAAAAGTACACTTCATAGAGTATCAGCAATTGAAAATCTACAGTCGGAAAACATTCGAAGTGATTTTGAATTTTCTCGTAATCAGCCTCTTCGTTGTTGAATATGATCTGCTTTTAAAAGATCAAAGTAGAAAATTTTGTGAACATATCACCTAGTTTGTAGAGAAGTCGTTGGAAACAAAGCAGAAAAAAGATTGGAAAATACCAAAGCCAAGTGAAGTAACTACAGAAGAAGTTTTATCAGCCGTTAATTCAGTCATCGAAGACCTTCATAAAAATGATATAGCCAATCAAAAAAAGTAACCATATAAAAAATCACATAAAAACTTTGGTTTATTGGAAGAAGAATATATTTTTTGAAATTGCTTTTTTTTACATAGTTTTGATAAGTATTTTGCCAGTTATCTAACTTAGTATTGCAAGCACTAAGAAAACGTTATTTATCTCACCCATGGCCGTAAACAATTGTGATAACAAAGTAATATGTCAGAAGTTTTAATTCTGAACTTGGTGAAATACTCAGGACGAAAAGCGAGCTGGTTGAAAAGTTAATGGAATATGAAAAAGAAAATTTTGAAGCTGCAACCAGTGCACAGTACGGTGAAATGTTGTCCGATAAGGTTTTTGCTAGTTTTTTGGCGAGTGTCAAGGAAGAAACAATAAGACCTCCTCCAAGGTAAAAGAAATGTTTCTGGATTACTTTCATGTTCTGAATTTATTTTTCAGAAATTTCTACATTATTACTTGTTTGTATTAAAGAAATATGTTTGTCAGAGCTATCGAAATGAGACGAATACGCCGAGGAATGCTGCTTTTAAAACGCGAAATATTTTATCAAGCTCTTCAGGTAGCACTCAAAATTTTTTCATATCTTAGTGCTGATTGATCTAGCAATTATTTACAAGATTTATGTATTGATCTAGATCCTGTTAATTCGCATATTTTGATCATCCTTTGCAGTCTGGTCATAAAGCTGAAAATGCGCGGGAGATCGCGGAACGTGCTGTAAAGATAGCTGAACAAAGAGCTGTTAAAAAGCATGAAATTTTGGTTGAGAATTATACAGAAGAACAGAAAGAAAAAATGTTAAAGGAAGTTGAACAAACTAAGAAAGAAAACGAATTCTATGATGTCGCGTTGCAACTAGCAAGGTTGTACTTTGGCTTTATACTAGTTTCTTGTCAATGCATTTAAGTAAGTTGAAAATAAATGTAAAATGTCTGAAAGGATAAGATGATTTGATTTCCTTTTAATTTATATTGTGAGATTTACGATTATAATCGGAGTTGGCTTGAAATGTCTTCAATCAAAATATAATTAAAATATGACGTCTGTAGAATTTGTACGGAATTTTACAGTTTTTGTAGTTTTGAATTCTCGACTTAAATTTTTTTTTTTGTCGATGCATTAAATGTGATAAATTCCTATAGATTAGATGCAACCTGCGACATCAAAGACACATTTTGAATAATTGCAACACTTAAAAACAACAGACTAATTGTAGTCTATTATTTTTTTAGCAATCAGAAATTGTAATTATTTTCAGCAAAATGCTTTATCCGAAAGATTTATCATCGTATGTGCCTGATGTATCCTCTTTCAATATTATCCATCCTAGTCTTAATGTCCAAAACATATTTGACGACAAGACAGACAGATTAGACGTTTTTGACTCAGCAAAGAAATTGGAATTAAAAAACCATTCACTAAAACAGTGGTGTGATTGGGACCGGAATGCTGCGAAGTGTGTTTTATTTACGTTCTATGTCTTTTATTTGTATTTTTACGTTAGATTTTTATCAAATAAGAAACAAATTTATATGTTTCGAAACCTTGTCACATTTCTCTTGCAGCTATAGTTTTAGTAATTGTCACTGTATTCGCTATTTTATGTAGGATTTGGAATCAATCGTTTGGTCCAACGAACGCTTTCGAAGAAATGATAGAACTTACGGAAGAAGGAAAAATGTGGCCCTATCCCGTTAACAATGAGTATCAGATTGGCTCGGAAGAAAACGTAACCAAAAGAATATTGATATATATACAATACAATTACTTTGTTTTACTTTAGGAGCATTTTATTCTCTATTTCAAAAATTTCAGGTTGGTTTTTACGAACATATTTTTTTGGATAAATATTTGCTTCAGTACGACCTACCCAAAGAAGGACCAGTTGCCCAATTCATGGAACTGGTTTGCGTGGGATTATCTAAAAACCCTTTCATGTCTATTCAGAAAAAACATGCACATCTTGATTGGCAAGTTTTGTATTATGTTAATTAAGATGAATCAAAAAAATATTTGTTGTCTCAACGAATTGCATTTGTTCTCACTGTGAAGAGTTATTTCTTTTACATAAGAACAACAAACTGCTACTAAACCTCGAAAAAATAAATCATTAAAAAGATGTCTTCTATATTTTGTGTAAGATATTAACATTGTAGGTTTGCCAATTATTTCAAGGAGAAAGCGGAAGAAATTAAACGCATGCAGGAGGATATGGGAGTTGCCGTTGACGGTTCCATATAAACTTTTGTCCTCATCTATTTGAATAAAGTCAAAAGTTTACATGATTATAGAATTATACAGGGTGGAATATTATGCTTAATAAATATATCCAAACAGTATCTAATTCTAAACATACTTAAGCGCAAAATTGTGAATAATTTTGACGAGCCATGTCATAATAGTAATGCAATAAGCATTTAAGTCTGTGACGTCGTTAAATCAAAAATTTTATTTTTTTCTATGAATGTAATCAAAAGTAAAATTGCAGTGCTCACAAAAAAGTTCTTAGTATCTTTATTTCCAATTTTTATGTGATTAATGCGTGCTTTGCTTCGATAATTTATATGTTGAAATAAAAAGCTGCTATGCATATTTTTGCACGCATTTTATGTTCTTAACTACACTTTTGAAATTACTTAGCGCCAAAATGGTTCGTTTTCCACATCAAGAAATTACTGCTTCCCATTCGAGCACAGATGGAACAGTGGTTTCAAGGTGTTGTTTCAGTCAGTAAAGGGATGATTTTTCAGAAATATAATAGGCAAAAGATTCGACAGCAGTCATTTATTTCGGAAATAATTCAAAAACCAGATAAGTACGACACAGGTAGTTATTATCCAATAATCGTGCCAAGACTCGACAATATAATAACTGAGTGACCTCAATGAACGAAAGGATTTGATTTATGTCTAACTCCATGAAGAGAAAAGGGATTTATGTCTAAAAGGCAAACGTTGTCTCGCACTGTATCTGTTCATTGTTTGCTAAATGAGCTGCAATGGAAGTACGTACGGAAAATCAATTGACTTCATGGCCGATCGTCTTGTAGCAGGTTATAAAATTATATATGACTACTAACCATACGTATGTCAAGTAACCTTTGATCTAGCAATCATAACTGCAGTAATACAACAGTTCATATCATATTATTGCAACTCATTATTTTTGAATGCTATCATGGTAAGACATTAATTTATAGGGATATTGTAATCGATACTATTTTTCTTTGAAAAGGTAAGATAGAGAATGGCATGATGCTCAAGGCTATTTCTGATTAACAATGCTGGATTACGTGATTCCCGAATAGAGAAGCTATCAGTAAATACAGATAGCTCTACTCAAGATTAACAATGCTGGAAACTGATTGTTTAATATGTGCTGTAATGGACAGCAGTGATTTTTTGATGTGCAACAAAGCCGTTTTGGCGCTAAGTAATTTCAAAACTGTACTGATTACAAACGTGATTAATAATAATATTACATGATGGAATGCTTTTCACACAAATACTACGAACTGTCACAGGTATGATGGGAAGAAGCTGATAAGGTATCATCGAACAGCGTGTGAAATGAAATATTAAGAAGGTGCCATAATTGCTCATAAATAGTTGATCTCAGCATGAGAATAAGATTACCCACTATATTTTAATAACATTTAATGGACAGGTAAATTACAATGACCCCCACTAATTACAAATCATAGCAACGGTAATTGCTGATCAGTTAATAGTGATAGTACAAATAATGATAAATACAACTATTATCCAAAATAATGGTAAGGTATTTAGCAAATATCATTATTATGAGGTAATATTGTGTGTCATAATTTAGCCATTTTTAATAGTTTTTCTAAAAGTAGCAATAATAATAGAGTATTAAAGTATTGCTAGCAGGTAATAGTTTGATTTTATATTTGGTAGAGGAGTTGCTGGCCATTGTTGATGATAATGATCAAGGCGAAGACAAGAATGACATTTGTGTTGACACTTTTGTTTCCTATTCGACAACAGTCTCAAGCGAGGGAATGAAAAAGTATGTGAAAGAGTGTGAATAAAAGGGAAGGAAAGAGAAAAATTCATCTGAGTCGAGCAAGGAAAAGATTGAGATGGACAGATAGAGAGACAGAGGAAGGTGCTGTAAGGGATGCAAAGATGGTGATTGCCTACGGATAGTCGTGATGACATTGTCATTCATATGGTTTTGTTGTTGAGGGTTCGCTTAATGGCTGAAGGTGAGAGCCCGCCGGCATGAGTAGCAGCACATTCACGCCATCTGCTCTTTGACCCTTGTATGTGTCGTGTCTCTGCTTCTTCTTCTTATTTTATGTCATCTATAACTTACAAGATTATTTCGTTGTAATACACAAACAATAAGAGAAGTGAAAAGGGGAGGAACTCATTTTGCCTCGTGGAGACACACGCAAGCACACGCATGGCACACGTGAGAAGGGACACTCCTCATCCATCTCCTTAACTTGCTCAATCTACTCATTTTGGCACTTGACCCTCGTTTAGCACACACTCTTCTTCATCATCCTCTTATTATTAACTTTCCTCTTTTAGTCTTGTTTACTCTGAACAAAAGTAAATTAACTTAGCTATTGTAATTATTTATTTTTATTATCACAATAAATGATTTATTGCTGATAAATATTCCTACGTTACTATTGTGACAAAACAAGATTATCATTAATGACATCAAATTGTTGTTAATTAATGATTAGCAGGTTTATAGTGATAACAATAATAGCTTGTGAAATATTCAATTATAGCTGCAAATATCAATTATAATATGCATTAGTCATTTCAATAGAAATAATTATATCTTGCTCTATAAGCAGTAATAATTATATAATTCATAGTAATGAACATAGTAATACCAGTTAAAACAATAGAAACATTAATTATATCACATTACGATAATAAATATTGCTTATACACATGTTCAAAGATTAAAACAATAACGACATGTGTAGTGTTTATTTATGGTAATAGCTATAATAATAATACACAAACAATAAAAAGATTAGCATAAATTTATCGCAAAAAATAAAGAAATATAACAATGATTAAGAGATGAATAAGTAATCCTGAGTTATCAACAGGTATCTGATAATTATAGGTTATGATAATAATCTAACTGATTATATAATCTGAAAATACTGGGATATGAATATACAACTAGCAATAACTTTCAAGCTTATAATAGTTATGATTACTACTGATACTTTTATTAACACTATTATTTATAATATGTAGTTAATGGTTGTCGTCTATATATTGAGATGATCAGTGATGGTTGAGGATGTAAGTAATCGTCCACTTGATGTGCTGTAAAAGAGAGTAAGAAAGAATGGGAGTAAGGGAGTGGTGGATTGGCGGTGAGTATCATAGCAGCACCAACACTACTACTACGATCAGCAATTACATTGCCTAGAATTTCTTGCATTGTTTTCTTTCGTTGAAGAACTGATTTGTGTGCTCTGTTTAGGCTGTGTTAGTCAAGAGAGAGACATTCTTTTCCTCATCCTCATGAAGGAAGGAAAAGGCAAGTTTGTTGTCCGAGATGTCCCGGGTTGTACTGCCCTTGGTCAGTATCTATATTTAACTCTGTATGTGTTTGTCCGCAGTGTGTATACCTGTTTCTTTGAGTTCGTCTCTTTCCATTTATCGTTCAACTATGATAGTATTCTACACTTTTTCTTTTATGTTCCAAAATTTGAACAAACAGATCAAGTTAAGTTTACTATTTTTTTTCTAATAAAAGTAGTAAGTACTGTGTATTAATTACGTGATAGATAATGAGCGTAAATTATTACGTAAACATATATTAAATTTTTATGGTTGGTTGACATTATACAGTAGCATAAATTAAGCGTGCTGCTTTCTTTGTACTGATGAATGTAACCAAATAAATCATAATTATATAATTTGTAAATTGTTAGCAATGATTATTGCAAAATGCTAAAATTGCGAATACGAAGTATTTAGTGGTAGGATGTTGTATTCATTTCAATTTATAGCAGGCAAGCAAAGAGTAAGGTAGAATTGATGTGTGCTGGTAGGTGTTATGTTGAAGGCGAGGGGAAAGAGAGCTGTTCTTGAAGCATTCATTTCCTTTGATGATATCGAAGACTAAGAAGTGGTGCTTTGTCACGTAAACTTATGAACATCATTTCAAATGTAAACGTGCTTTTGGAAGAGTTTTTTTTTCTTCTTTTTTTTAGCAGTGCAAACGAGAATGAAACGTCGTCTTGGAGTATTATGCATGTACTTCCTTGTTTTTTTAACGTGTATGTGTGAAAAGAATGGCAAGTTTTTCTCGTAACTTTTATTCAGGAAAGCTTATAGCAGTTGATTTAGTTCATTGAAAGTTTTCATGTATACACTACAAAAGACATCTTTTATACTACTCAAGCATCATTCTATAGCAATTAAGAATGCTTCTTCTGCATTCACTCAACTTTGACTTGTCATCGAAAGAGTGCGTATTTGAGTTTGAAATTTGAACTTTAGAATGAATTTTGAATAAACGAACAGTGTTGTTTATAGAAGTTATTAGGAAGCAATTTCTGTAAGTATATTTAAGAGAATGAAAATTTTTTTGAACATTAGCAGTTTCTCGACTAAGTTGGAAAGCAAATTGCTCATTCTGTGCCATTTGCAATGAAAGCTCATGATTATATTCTGTCATTCACGTAGTCATCTTTAGTGCTTTATAAACATGTCTTCTAGTAGTGACTCAATTAATGTGTTAATACTTCATGTTAAATATTGTGAGCATGAATGAAGCAGTTTTTAAGAGTTGGCAGTTGGTCACAATTTATATTAAAATAAATTTAAGTAATTCAGTACATATTACCTGTGTAGGAGTTAAAAATTAACGATTTGAAAAATTCTGTGTTTAGAATTGCTCTAACAAGTGAGCAAATTCGGAATTTTAAGTCTTGCAGTTCGTCAATATCAAATACAATTATGGTGCATTGTGAGATAATTTATTTACCAGCTTGTGGGGTTACTCTTGTTATGCAGATTAGTACTAAATATGAGAGCTGTAGACTTTTGCAGTGCAAAGCAGGTAAATCTCGTAGTATTTGCTACATGCATGGATTTATATAAATTTGTGTTTAAATATACATTTATAGATATAAGGATTTAGTAATTTGGTAACAAGTACTACTAAGTAAGCTTGCTTTGATTTATTCATCTATGTAGATTAGATAAATAAGATAGAAGCTATGCTTTTCGCTCTTTGGCATTACACTTACACACAAATACATCAATTTCATTGCATCCACAGATTGCAAATAAGATTTTAGAATGGTTGGTTGGATGGATGAATGGACGAATGGCCACTGGAGCTGCGTTAATTGGAATATTCTGCCATCTGAA